GCAGGGGCGAGAGCAATAGCACAGGGGTAGGGTGTTTTCCTTGCACGCATCTGACCCGGGTTCGATTCCCAGCATCCCATATGGTCCCCCAAGCACCACCAGGAGTAATTTCTGAGTGCAGAGCCAGGAGTAACCCCTGAGCATTGCTGGGTGTGACCCAAAAAGCAAAAAAAAAATTTTTTTTTAAAAATCCTGTATTTTTAACCATTGCAAAACAAAAAATCTGGAAAATTATGACCAAAACTAACTGTCCCAGATTTTTTCTCTATTCATTTTCCAGCATTTTTCTCTATTCATTTCCATCCATTATATACATAATTGGGTGGATTTTACAGGTTTGTATCCATTTTTCCACTTAGCATTATACATAAACCCATTCCCATCCCATTAAGTTTTATTTTAAAAGAGCACTTTCATGGGCTGGAGGCACAGTTCAGGGTGTCAGGGTGTGGGGGGCAGAGCCAGGAATAGTCCCTGAGCACTGCCAGTTGTGGCCTCACATCCCTCTCTTAACCCTTTCCCCAAAAGAGTGACTTTATAGTTGATTTAAAAATGTTCAGTTGTTTTCCATAAGTATTTTTACATTTTGGACTGTGAGCCTACCTTTGGTGGGGGGGTAGAGTTTGTGCCATGCCCAAAGGTGGTCAGGGATCACTCCTGGCTCAGTGCTCAGAGGACCATATTTAGTGCCAGGGGTCAATCTGAGGTCAGCTGTATACAGGGCAAGTGACTTGCACTACCTTTCCAATCCAAGCCTGCCTTATTTTGCTAATTTTTTGGTAGTGGGCAGGAGTTGGGTCGCACTCAGTGTTGCTCAAGGCTTATTCCTGACCCTGTGTTCTGGCGTCACTCCTGGTAATGCTCAGGAGACCATATGCAGTGCCAGGGATCAAACCCCAGTCGGCCTCATGCAAGTCATGTAATTGCCTAACCTCCTGTATTGTCTCTTTGGCCCCTGAACCTGCTTTTTTGTCTCTAATTTATTTTTGGTTTGGGGACTACACCTGACTGTGCTCAGGGTTTCCTCCTAGCTCTACACTCAGGAATTACTTCTGGCAATACGCAGGGGACTATATGGGCTGCTGGAATTGAACCCAGGTTAGTCATGTGCAAGGCAAGTGCCCTAACCATTGTACTATTTCTCTGATTTTTTTTGAGCCTGCTTTTCTTTTTCTTTTTCTTTTTCTTTTTCTTTTTTTAATTTTTATTCGTGAAACACCATGAGGTACAGTTGTAGACCTACAAATTTTTGTGCTTGGGTTTCAATTATACAATGATCAAGTACCCATCCCTCCACCAGTGCCCATCCTCCACCACCACGGATCCCAGTATTCCTCCCACTACCCCACCCCCAGTCCCACCCTGCCTCTGTGGCAGGCCATTTCCCCCTGTTCCCTCTCTCCTTTTGGGTGCTGTGGTCTGCAAAAGAGGCCATCAAGTGGCAATCATGTTTGGCCTATGGTCTACTTTCAGCATGCTTCTCCCATCCTGGGAGGATCCTCCCAACACCCTTTATTTGGTGCTGCCTTCTCTATCTGAGCTGCCTTTTCCCCTAGCATGTGTGGCTATGAGCCTGCTTTTCTAAAAATGAGATTTACAGAAGTAAAATTACTGACAAAGACTATAAAATTGGTTGAAGGTTTTTTTTTTGTTGTTGCTCTTGTTTTGGAGCCACACCTGGCTGTGCTCAGGGCTTACTCCTTTCTCAGGAGGCAATCCTAGTGGTGCTCTGGGGACCATACTGGATGTCAAATCGAACCCAGGTTGTTCGTGTGGAAGGCCAAGTGCCCTCCCTGGTGTACTATCTCTCCAGCCCCAGAAGCTGTTCAGTGAGGCCCATTCCTGTCCAGAATGGGTATTCATTTTCAGCAGGATCTGACCTCACTGCATTTTTGCCAGTGTTTGAACACAGTTTGGTGTTTTGTTCTTTTTTTTGGGGGGGGGGGCGACTGGGACCAGTCAGTGGTACTGGGAGGGGCTTGGGCTACTCCAGGCTTTGTACTGGGGGCTACTCAGCAGTGTTCAGAGAACTAGACAGTTCTGGGGATGTGTTTGCCCATCGCCGCGGTATTTTTAGAAGAATCTGTTCTTAACCATTTTGGTAGGATTCCCAATGCAGTAGGTTAAACAGTACCTTCCTTTTCCCTTTCCCGCTAATTGACTCCAATGATGTTTTTTCCCCAAATGTATCTAAGCAAATCCATTTTAGATGTACTTTTGAGATAAACAATTTGTAGTAGAGTTCTGAATTAAGTGGAGTAATGTTCACTTTATTAAGTGATAAAAAGCCAGGTCGAAAATGGCATGCACAAGAATAGCACAGGAAAATTATTTCACGAAAGCATGGGGACGGTGCAAGGACATCTTTGCTTGTTGAGTACGAGTGGCTTTTACATTCTCTTTGTGCTCTATTTTGCCTTTTCTAGAATTTCTGTAATCAGTATTTTTAATAGAAATGTAATTTGCTAAATGGAACTTCATAATTCCACTGCAGTTCCAATGCCCCTCCTCCGCCAGAATTTATAAGGGTTCAACTTAACAGCTTTCCTGTTTGATAAGTTGTCACCATATTTGTTTTTGCAGTGATATTTTAAAGTTTCTGTATTTATTTAAGGACATGGAGTATTTCTTGGGCATGAATAATGGGCTGTGGTTCTTGTGTTGTTCTCAGAAGTCACCTATATAGAGAATGTTTGTTTCTTTCTTATAGCTGAATAGTTTTCCAACGGTAGCTTGAATGAGAGATCAAGTGTTTGACCTGCTTAGAGAAATGTGAGAAATGTTCCCGGAATTTATATTGACCTCTTGGTATATCAAAATTGCTTAGGGGCCACATAATCCCAGTGTTACTATGGTAACTATTCTTTATGTTCATATTAATAAAGAGGAATGAGAGCTGTTCAGAATGAAGTGTCTGGCAACCAGGCAACAAATGAACAGGTTTTTAAGATTTACCATATTGTGAATTAATTTTCATATGACATTTATAAATAACTTAGGTAATAACCTCATTAAAAGTCCATTCAGACAGGATAAAAAGGATAACCTCTCAGTATCTGTATTGAAAACCATAATGGCCAGAAGGACGGGGAGGTGGGAGAGAGAGAGAGAGAAGAAAATTGTCATAGAGGCAGACTGTGTGTTTGTGGGAAAGGAGGTGGAGGGAAACTGGGGATATTGGTGGTGGAAAATGTATACTTGTGGCGGGGTAGCGGAGAGAGAGAGAGAGAGAGAGAGAGAGAGAGAGAGAGAGAGAGAGAGAGCAGATTTTCATAGTCAAATTGGCATCACAAAACATTTTTTAGAGCCAGAGGTATGGAGCCAGAGCAGAAGTACAGCGGGTTCAAGAAGTACACTTGCTTGAATGCAGCTGACCCGATTCAATCCCTGGCACCTGATATGATCCCCCAAACCTGCCAGTAGTGATCTCTAAGTTCAGAGCCAGGAGTAAGCCCTGAGCACTGTTGGGTGTGGTCCAGAAAGTAAAAACAAAAGAGCCCGAAGTTATAAAATTCTGATTCTTTTTATTTGCTCTCATCCATTCATGTGCCAGGTTCTGAAATAGTGAGGTTTCCCCCCCTAGAGATTATAATTTATTTAAGTGGAAATGTGAAAAAAATTTCGTTATGAGATTATTTTCCCCCGCTACTAATTTCCAAGAATATCTGTATTCTGACAAAGACCTAACCTATATACTGCTTACATTCCTAACACCACTTCAAATTTCCTCTTGACCACACTGACACAATAGACATTAGTGTTCTGTTCATTTCATCAGGGTTTAACATGGTAAAACTAATAGCCCCAGTGGAATTACATTCAAGTCATTTCTAGACAAAGGAACAAGAAAAAATAGCATTCATTGTTAAATTTTTAAAATTTTTTTAAAATTTTATTTAATTTTTTTTATAAAGTTGTTCACACTAATTGTTTACGTTCAGTATTTCAACACCAATCCCACCACCATTGCACCTTCCCACCACCATTACTTTGAATCTTCCCATCACCACCCCAGCCTGCTCCTTAGGCATATGCTAAATAATTTATTTTGTACTGTTTGCCATGTATAGTATAAGGTGTCATGCAGCCACAGAAGTGGAATTCTAAAATTTTTAAATATTTGGGGTCTGGAGGCATCTCTGGCTTGCTGCTGTCCTCTAAGATTTGTTTGTGAGTCTCCGAATCATGGCCATAATGCTCCTAAATGGTGCCCAGAAGCAGTTCTTGGGCGTGACTGCCAGGAAGCCGGAAGGGCTGGGAGATAGGGGGGAACTCGCTGGTCCCCAGCTCCTTGAAAGCTGAAGTTTTCAGTCACTGGTACTGCATACCTGGGTTTTTTCAGCGGGTTCATTCTCATGCATGGGGGGGTTGGGACGAGCCTGTGAAGGTTGGCTGTGAGTGTGGCAGTGATTGGGTTCTGGAGGTTTGCGGCTGCCGGGGTTTATTTGAGGCAGGTGGAAGGACACACCTGCCCCCCTCTGAGGTGCCCTGGTGAAATCATTCTGGCGCAGGGTGGAGAGACATCTCTGCCACTTGCTGCTCTCCTCTGAGATTCATTTGTGAGTCTCTGAATCATGGCCATTAATGCACTTAAAAGGCCTGCTTTTGATCTCTTTCGAGATTTATTTATGGGTCTCTGAAGAAAGCCTGATAAATGAGCGTGTATAACCTGAGCCGAAGGTGGTTTGTGGGCGTGGCTCCTACATACCTAACTTTTGAACATTTAATTTCTCGGGAAACTTGGTCCCAAGTTGTTGGAGTCCAGCCAGAGACACAGCGGCAATTTTGGAGTATCAGGAAACCCAAAGGCACCATCAGGCTGCTGATGCACTCGCCCTGCGGGTACAGGGTGACCTGCTGGGTGGCACCGGACCTCCAACAACTTTTTCAATAATGAATTTGACCCCCTTGGCGGAACTTGAACTGAAATGCCTTTAATCTGATAGCGCAGCCTCAGCACAGTCACACACTAATCATATTATTTTCTTGCTTTGCTGTAGATGTGTTCTTTGTGCCATTGTCCTGGAGCAACAATTGGTTGTGATGTGAAAACCTGTCACAGGACATACCACTACCACTGTGCATTGCATGATAAAGCTCAGATTCGAGAGAAACCTTCCCAAGGAATTTACATGTAATTATCGAACTTCTCAAGTCTTTTTGTAACAGTCATGCTTTCTTTAGGATTAAAAAACATAAATGTTCAGTCTCAGCACTTCGTCATCAGTGCTTTGACAAAACATGAAGGTGTTTTTGGTATGGAATTTAATGCTTAGGGAAATGGCATAGGATATTTAATCAAATTTCTGTAATCAGGCCTGTGAATGGGGTAGAGTGGACTGTGCGTGGTCTTCATTTGAAAGACATTTAAGCAGTTTACTTGGTAAGCTTCCATTTTCTCTTTTCCAGGGTTTATTGCCGAAAACACAAGAAAACTGCACATAATTCTGAAGGTAGGTTCTCCAGCCACTTTTCATTATCAAAAAGAAATTGAGTAAAATAACAGCATGCTATTTCGTTTTTTTTACCAGAGGATGTTTCTTAGTCCTGAATGCATTTCATCAAATTTTCAAATCAGTAGAACAAAGTAATGTGCCAAATAAAAAATGATCTGATTTTTGGGGGGAGAGATTGTCACCTACAGTACTGTTAGTGGTAGGATTTCATGCATACAGCATTCATCCCATCCCTTCCACAGAATGTCTGCCTCCCTCCACCACTGTCTCAGTGTTCATCACCCAGTCATACACACATAAACACCCTCCCACGGTAAGCACAGTGCTGTAGGCCATTTCTAGTGTCACCTTTGACCATGTGTTATTCCCTCATTATGTTTCTTATGGGCTGGAGCCATAGCACAGTGGTAGGGTGTTTGCCTTGCGTGCAGCCGGCCCGGCCAAGTCGGATTCGATTCCTTCGCTCCGCTCAGAGAGCCTGGCAAGCTACCGAGAATATCTCGCCCGCAAGGCAAAGCCTGGCAAACTACCATGACGTATTCAATATGGAAAACACAGCAACAAGTCTCAAAATGGAGACGTTACTGGGCCCGCTAGAGCAAATCGATGAACAACAGGAAGACAGTGACAGTGATGTTTCTTATGTCCCACATATAAAAAGATATCATTCTGTTTTTGATCCTCTCCTTATACTGACTAATCTGAAGTTTTAAGGAAACATTTGCCTCTGATTTTTTAATAAACTGTTAAGAAAGGGGCTAGAGTGATAGTCCAGCGGGAAGGGTGTTTGCCTTGTTTGCGGCCGACCCGTGTTCACTCCCTGGCATCCCGTATGGTCCCCCAAACACTGTCAGGAGTAATTCCTGAGTGCAGAGCCAGAAGCAACCACTTAGCATCACTGTGTGTGACCCAAAAAATTTTAAAAAAATGAGAAACGTGCATACTTAAGGAAGAAACGATGCTGGTTATTACATCTTTTTGTATATATGTAAATGTGTTAGTAGATCGTAAAGGGAACAGTTGGGATCTTTGCTTTATCACATACAGAAAATGTAAGTCTGGGAATACTGGTACATCTTGTGATCACCAGGCTTTTTGTTTAATTTTTATTTTCATTATCCTACTTTTTCTCTTTTAAAATGGGCATGTTAAGAGGAAAGTGTTAGTTCTAAAATATAAACTTTAAAAATTATTTTGTGATTTGTTTTCACTTAAACTTGTATAAAACCTGGTTATTCATGTGTATATATAGTTAGCCAAGTTGTTTCTGGCTTTTTTCAAGCCATGGGAAAATTCTGAAATTGAATTTTGACTCGTTTCAATTCTTTTCAAACAGATGGTTTTGATACTTTTACTAGAAATATAAAAAGACTATGGTTTAACCTAGTTTGTTCTGTCTTCCCATATAGATTGGGTATGTTGAAAGTTTTTGTTAGTAGAATTAGAATGATTTGACCCAGTTGTTGTAAGGCATTTCTTTGTATAAAGATTTACCTAATTATCAGGGTTTGTTGCCCGTTTTGATCTCTTACATTTTGACTTTTTCTTTTGATTTGGGGGCTAGACCCATTGATGTTCGGGGGCTCCTCCTAGTACAGTGATCCCTGTGATGCTCCGGGAACCATACTGTTTGGAGAACCATGGGGTTCTGGGCATCAAAATTTGTTCCCTGCCTGAAAAGCATGCACTTTAGCCCTTTGAATTATCTCTCCAGTATGTAGATCTTGATTTTTATTTTGTAGTTTTTGGTTTGGGGGCCATATCTGGCAATGTTCAGAGTTACCTCTGGGTCTGCATTCAGGAATCACTCCTGGTGGTGCTCAGGGGACCACATTAGATGCCAGGGATTGAACCAAGGTTGGCTTCATTCAAGGCCCTTACCCACTGTACTCTCTCTAGCCCCAGATAATGATTTTTGTTTAGTTTTCTTTTTTTGTTTGGGGGCCACACCTGCTAGTGCTCAGGGGTAACTCTTGGCTCGGCACTCAGGATCACTCCTGGCGGGCTTGGGGGACTATATGGGGTGCCCGGGATTGAACCTGGGTTGGCTGTGTGCAAGGCAAGAACACACTCTACTATCTTATCTGGCCCCAGATCTTGATTTTTATAAGGAAAAAAATTAGCATTGTTTTCACTCTGGACTCTGGTGTAGTCTAAATAGATTTTTAAAAGCTTTATACTTGGGCCACACCCAGAAATACTCACGGTTGCTCTTTGCTCTGCACTCAGGAATTATTCCTGGCAGTTGTCTGGAACTTATGGGCTTCTCTGGGGATTCGAACCTGAATCAATCACAGGCAAGGCAAGTGCCTTACCTGCTGTACTTCTCTCCATCCCCTCTAAATACATTGAAAAATTAAGGTTAAAAAATCTTTAGGGACTGTGGTGAGAAAGGGACACTCCTTCACTGTTGGTGGGAATGCCGACTAATTCAGCCCTTTTGGAAAACAGTATGGACGATTCTCAAAAAATTAGAAATTGAGCTCCCATTTGATCCAGCAATAACACTCCTGGGAATATATCCCAGAGAGGCAAAAAAGTATAGTCGGAGTGACATCTGCAATTGTCTGTTTATTGCAGCACTCTTTACAATAGCCAGAATCTGGAAAAAACCTGAGTGCCCGAGAACAGATGACTGGTTAAAGAAACTTTGGTACATTTACACAATGGAGTACTATGTAGCTGTTAGAAAAGACAGAGTCACGAAATTTACATACAAGTGGTACTACATGGAAAGTCTCATGTTAAGCGAAATGACTCAGAAAGAAAGGGATAGACATAGAAAGATTGCATTCATCTGTGGAACATAAAGTAACAAAATAGGAGACTAACACCCAAGAATGGCCGGGATTAGTACCAGGAATTTTACTCCATAGCTTGGAGGCCAACCACACATACTAAGGGAAAAGGGAGCTCAGATAAAGAAGGGAACACCAAATAAAGGTGTTGGGAGGATCCTCCCAGGGTGGGAGAAGCATGCTGAAAGTAGACTATAGACCAAACATGATTGTCACCCATTGCCTCTTTTGCAAACCACAACACCCAATAAGAGAGAGAGAACAAAAGGGAATGCCCTGCCACAGAGGCAGGGAGGGATGGGGGGATGGGGGGTGGGAGGGATACTGGGATCAGTGGTGGTGGAGAATGGGTACCGGTGGAGGGATGGGTATTTGATCATTGTATAATTGAAACCCAAGAACAAAAATGTGTAAGTCTGCAACTGTACCTCATGATGTATCACTATTAAAAATTTTTTTAATAAAAAAAAAATCTTTAGGGGCTGGAGTGAGAGTACAATGGGTAAGGCATCTATCTGCCTTGCATGTGACCAATCTTGGTTTGATCCCCAGCACCACATATGGTTCTCTGAGGCCTGCCGGGAGTGATCCCTAGTCTAGGGCCAGGAATAAGCCCTGAGCATAGCAAGTGTTTCCCAAAAACTTGTTTTAATAAGGTAACCAAACTTGAGTACGGCATAAAAATAGAATTTTTTTTCTGTTTGGATCACACCCGGCGATGCACAGGGGTTACTCCTGGGTCTGCACTCAGGAATTACTCCTGGCGGTGTTCAGGGGACCATATGTGATGCTGGGAATCAAACCTGGGTCAGCCGTGTGCAAGGCAAACGCCCTACCCGCTGTGCTATTGCTCCAGTCCCAAAAATAGAATATTTCTGAGGCGATAAATTGCAGGCTAATAAGTCTGTAAGGGTTTTTCTTTGTTTGTTTTGTTTTTAGTGAAACACCATGAGGTACAGTTGTAGACTTACAAATTTTTGTGCTTGGGTTTCAGTTTTAAAATGATCCAGTACCCATCCCTCCACCAGTGCCCATTCTCCATAATTTATATTTTTTAAAAAATTTTTGTTGGTGAAACACCATGAGGTACAGTTGTAGATTTACAATTTTTTGTGCTTGGGTTTCAATTGTACAATGATCAAACACACATCCAACCACCAGTGCCCATTTTCCACCACCACGGGTCTTTTATTCATTTTTTTTTTTAATTCTGGAGTTGAAAAACCTTTGTGAATGATGGAAACCAAGCTTTTCCTACTTTCATTAGTCAGATATTAACTGTTCTTATTCATTCTTTTTAAGACTCGAAGTGACCAAATGTGTTCAGCCAAAGTTTGAAAACTTACCTGACAAAGAACAAGTGTATGAGCATACCGGGGCAGGATATTTGAGAATTATAACAACGATTAATATAGACGTTTCCCTTTTATTCCCTAGATTTCAGAAGCTGATAGTACCATCTAGTGGTAGGGAAACGTCACTGCAGTTTACTGAAAAGTAGAATGCTTTTTTTAACTTGGTCTTTTAAAAAATTGTATTAAAGCACTGTGATTTACAAAGTTATTCGTAGTTGAGTCTTAGACATACAATGTTCCAGCACTGATATCACCACCAGTGTCCCCAGGTTCCTTGCCATCCCCAATCTGCCCCCTCGGCAGGCACATTTTTAAGTTTGGTTGTTGTAGTTTGGATCTTACACGTGCAGTGCTGTTGGTTTTGTGGTATATAGAATAACTGGATTGGGAGAATGCAGTGTATAAAGCAGAATACTTTTGAGCACTTTTTGCTTTGAGAAACTTAATAATGAGAAAGATATGAATTCAGACTTTTCTTTTTTAAAAATATTTTTACTGAGGTTCTGTGCTTTACAGTCCTATTTATGATGGTTTCTCATGCATGTAAATCTAAACACCACCCATATCACTTGTGTACTCAGCATCTTCTCCCAAGGACCCCAACACCGCTCCTTGTCAAACCCTCCCCCAGCTGAGTTGTGTGGATTAATTCTCCCATTAGATAAATTCATACTTTATAAGGCAACCTTTCTTTTAATGTAACAAGTAGGATTAATACAATTCATTTTTGAGATACTGTTAATTTGAATTTTACCTTGAATATATACTTTGTGGCATGTGGAGTTCCCTCATATAATTGAAATATATTTGTGGGTGTGTCTCTGTGTGTATATAGGTAATGTGT